AAAAAAAAAAAAAAAAAAAAAAGAAAAAGTAAGATGAAGTCATCATGCTCGAGCAGTGAGAAAGAGGAATGAATGCTCATTTGTCGCTCGGTCGATTGATATAATAATAACGATGCTGCAAACTATGCCGCATAAAATCAGGCATCTATTAATATCAGCGTACGACACTTCGGTCTACGCGAAGAGTATTGTTGCTCGTAATAAGAAGCCGATCTACATAAAATTCTACAATGAGTTCGATGATCGGGCACACGCGAAAGCTGGGGAGGACTCATGGTTGCCACGGCAGATAAATATTATTGCAACTCTCAAGCGCTCGAACACCACTTGATAGTATAAATATATCTCATCGAAGAGGAGAACAACACGCAAACGCGCCAACGTTGTTGCATTGTTGAATACGCTAAGCAAACAAGATCCTATAGACCGTGATAAGTGACAAATCAACATAATTCCTGCGGACCGACGCCTCGTCGCTCGTTTGGCTGGTGTCGGTCCCGCGGGCCCGACACTCGCAATGTCGTTCGATCGGTGTCGGTCCCCTGGCGGGCCCGACACTTGCAATGTCGTCGGACGCGTATCGAATCTGATCGAAATACACTTGATTGTTATTAATATAAAAGATACACGCAAAAAAAAAAAAAAACTATAATTTATACAGCATAGAAAATACACACACTCGGCTGCGTCTCGAACATGATGGTGGTTCGTTCATTTGGTAATTCAACCTTCCAAATGGAATCTCGCTTTCGATTCTAGTATATGATCGCCGCCGGAGTGTAACAATTATTTCACGGGACAATTGCCGACGCTATTCCGAGTACTTAATTAGACTACGCGGCCTGTTGTTGTGCCTGATGACACATCTCTATTGGGTTCCTCTGCACGGATTCTCGTGTATTTCTGTTTGTCAAATGACTAATATGCGAACGCCAGTAACAATGAGAACGCGTATGATGGAGCAATGAATGGTCGCGTGATTTTTTTTCCCTTCGGATATTAAGTGTTAAGTTGATATTAAGTGACGAAAGATACACTTGTATCGTAGTTTATTGAAATATATCAAAGGTATGTAATGGGCATTTTCGATGTTATTTCATTTGAAAAATAATGAGGAAGAGTCGTGCAATAATTTTTTATATATAGCATATGATTTCATTTTTTCGATTTTGAAAATCCAATGTAAGTATGTAGTAAGCACACATACGCACACACACACGTTGAAGAGATTCGTATCTTTAAGATTGATATTTTCTACAGATTAAAACTCTTAGCTCGGATTTTAAATACTGAAATAATCTCGATGACATCTACTTTTATGGACATAAACTTTGCTCGCGCGTAATACAATGCAAAGTATATTTTCATTGAAAGCGGAACTTTACAGAAACAAAAACTGAATTGCCGTGCTATTATTTATTACTACTACATGGAAGTAAGTACCACTCTTATTTAATATAGTTTCTCAAATGACGAAGTTATGTTGATAATAATTTCCATTTGTTCTAACTTACATGTATTTTATGTAGATCGGCTGTGGGCCATAAGTCGAATTAGTAATCGTCAATAGATATAGCAGTGCAAGATTTATATAAGTCTTTCAAATTATTCAATTTGATTGATTGCACCATTCAACTACTAAAATTCAGTCTACGACTGATTGGTAAACGTTGAGGAAAAAATAAACCACCAGTTTCCAGCACGTGTTGTTCCACTTTTATGCCGAAAGATAACTAATTTCAAGTTTTGTAATTATAAAAATACAAGTGTGCGACATGCCCTCTCGAACCAATCGTATTTCTTCGAGAAAATTGTACCAAATCACAAGTGCGCGATAATCGTTTGGGTGATGATCTGTCAAGCAAGGAAGATAAGGAGGAACTCACAATCAGTCATTGTAACTGTTGGAGGGCCACGTATCACCGTTACTGTGTAATCTTGTCTTTTATCGTAAAAGGGAAATCATTAGATGAACCGACTGGTTTCTAGATAATTCGTAATATCAAGTTCATTGTAATATCTCTCCGTCGCGTGTAAAAGATTACACGTGTGAAACGAGCACGGAAAAAAATTCTAATCGAGTCTTGAGGCCGTTTAAAATATTCGTTCAGGGGAGGAACGATAGAGGCGATAAATAATATATACGATCAAATTGAAAGAACGCAGTTTAAACATTTCTGGAAAATAGCGACGTAATTTCTCACAATCTGCATCTGATTTAAAGCCAAGAACGTTCTTCAAACGATGTTAAGCAGAAGGAACTATGAGGAACTAACACGGAGATTGATGGTAACTGCAGTTTTATAGCTGTCAGAAGAAAAGCACAGATCTGAAGAATATAAACTTTTGGTCAATCCCAATTTTATTCAATAAGATAAGGTAATAAGGTGACAAGATAAGATAAGATATTCACAAAAAATAACTAGAGTATAATACTTGATCTTACTTCCTTCAGACAGAAAGAAAATAACAGGTGTGACAAACAGACTGCACAGCAATGGCAAGCAAACAATTCAGAAAAAAGGTACTCCCAGTGAATAAACGAGCCTAACTTTCTAGTAACTATCAAATATGCGTAACAGCCTTGATTCCAACGATTCGCCAGAGTTATCATCTTGTTCATCTTTGGAATTCTTCTGCATAATTCATGGGCTCGCCAAACGCATGGTCTCTCTTCGCCAGGAGACGACTGGCCAGACACTGGCGATTAAACTTTTCTTCGCGTGCAAACTGGAACTGGATGCGTGATGAAGAAATTGACGGATCGATTGGTTTTTTTCAATCGAACAAGTCAGAAGATGCGAGATGTTGTGGCAGAAATAATCAGCGAAAAATTAATCGCCCTGTCTGTTATGAAATGCAAGAGTATAATCTTGTACGTACCTCTGATACCGATAACCATGTCCAGTAGGCGTCGTTGTTCAAGAATGATCCACTAATTGTCAATTTTCTAGAATCTTTGCGACTGTCGGATCTACAACACTACTTAGTTGAACGGAACGTGCAATTACTTCATTAGCGCTTGATTAACGAATTATTCGTGATACTCGTGCACTTTTTCAGCTGGAAATCTATGAACAATTGACGAGCCTATTTCTCTGATAGAGAAAATATTTCGAACTGAACTGATAAATCTGATGCGTACAATGACGAATAGAACCGTCGACACAGATCAGAGATTTTTGTAAAGTGGTAACTTTTAAAATTCAGAATTTATATTCACTGTGACAATTTTCAATTTTTTGCGTGTTAACATAAGTCTGTAAAACTCGCATTATTGTCATTACCAGACCACCTCAAAGTCCGGGTTATTTATATAGACGATAGTGGTGCATGCAAATGAAAAATTCATGGGGAAGAATCATGGTGGATAATCGGAACGGATTTACAAACGCAGCCGAAAACTGGAGTTCGATATCTTTTCCTTTAAGCTCTAGGTGTGCATTAGGAGACTCGGTTCGCGATGGCATCAGTCCAAATCACATGACACCAGGTGCACAAGCTATATCCAAGTATTTTTTTTTCCCCCCCTGTCTCACGCGACATCGCGCTATTTTAATGAGATGTGTCCGTCTGTTATAAACGTTGTAGTTATTTTCATGCTTTTTCACATGCCAGTATTTTTACCGTTGCATCCGGTGAAGATAAGAATAATG